CTTTAAGTAACATGTGTGGGGTTACCTGGAACCTGCCTGTGAAGTGACTCATCTGTAATCTAGACATGTGGGATTTCTTTGGTTACAAATCAAAATCCGAATGAAATGTTCCTTATTGGGAGATTGGGATATATCCAAATCTCTGAATCCCCATTGTAAAGAATTTCAAGGAATTAATTTGTATTCATTTGTATTTATTTGTTTCATTTGTTGCGACTTCAGAGGTTTTTGTGAATTCAGTAATGTTGTCACACTCTGAGGCTCCATGCACACTAGTGTTTTCTAGCCTCCCTGGTGGTATTCCCGAGTGTAGCTCGGGGTATAGTTTCAGTACCACAAGCGGTAACCCCGAGCTACACTCCGGCTTACCATGCGGCACTGCTCCGTGATCCCTCGATCACTTTCCTTGTCCTGCGCTCCCGCGATGTCCCTCCTGCAGTGTCCCCGCCAATGTAATCCGGCGGATGCTGGCATCTGTCTTCTGGGTTCCGTCCCCTGCGAGCGTTGGGACGTACGGGGGACGGAACAGCGGGAAATTTGAAAATGTCAAAAAGCGCCATTCACAAAAAGCACTAAAATCACATAGTAAAACATTACTGTATCAAGCCATTTCACATACATTTTGTCCCTAGTGCTTTGTCCTGTGCCCTGCCTTCATTTTTACTGTTCTTTCTACCTGGAAACTGAGAAATGTCCATGGCGTCCAAAAAGCGTCCGTTTAGGTCAAAAGCGATTTTAGACCAGCTAGAGAACAGCGATAGTAAATTAGAACTACTTGCAGAATTGAGTGATAATGATTCGTGGGGAAATTCGTCATCAGACACTGAAAACGATTTTGCGACTTTGCTCAGTGATGTGCGAACTTGGCGCTATATTTCAAATTTCAGTGTTTTTGGTTTGATTATATTGTTGAATTAAATTTTTTATTATTATATTATTATTTTTTATGATTATGTATTAAATTATAATTTATGATTTCGTGTTTCAAGTTTTATCCTACCCAGGATGTTTACTAGACTCTTGTTCGGACAGATTTCAGTGAGTTATTCCTAAGAATTACAGGCCTACAATATAAAACGCCAAATTTCCATGCAAAATAAGGGTGCTGCTTTCAGCACCAAAAATCTGAAATAATCAGACCGCCAGGGAGGTTAAGCTCCTATAAACTAAATAGTGTTATCCTATGTGTCCAAGCATACTACTTTTTGAGCTTCAGCGTCTAGGACCAGAAAAAAAGTAGTTTTCGTAGAGTTTTTTGGAGTATTTTTCCAGCAGAAAAAAGACGATAAACTCTCCTAAATGTGGCTAAATGCTACTAAAATACTCCTAACAGCTACTTTCTAGTTTTTTTCCCCCTACATGTACTGTAAAAAGGCTAATAAAATGCTAACACTTCTAAACACTTCTAAACGCTACCAAAATGCTACTAAAGAATGCTATTACCAGTGTTTATTATCCAGCGTTTACCCAGCATTTTTTTAGCTTAAAAAAATGCTATTGGAGCCTAAATTGTTATGATTGGCCAAAGCCAGAGACAAGCAAAACATCAAGTTACAACCAAGATGCATTGAAATCACAAGCAAGTCACATCTAAATCACAAGCGAGTTGCATCGAAATTGCAAGCAAGTCACATTGAAAAGTTGCATAGAAGTCACAATCAGGTCACTAAAATAACATAATGATATATGGAATTAATCTCAATCTTCCGAAATAATACAAATGGACTAGGAACAATGAATATACGAAACAAATCTGAATATATGAAACACATTTCGAAAACAAATCAATCAAATCAAACTTACTTAACAAATAAATCCGAAACAAAACAATTTTTTTCATCGTGCACATCTCTGATATAATCTGTTACAGCAAAACTGACTTTCTAAAGAAAAAAAAAATGTAATTTAACATACTGGCAACAATCCCTATGGGGTTTTTATTATTTCAGTCTTCAGAGTGATTTGGCACTTTGTGATAACAGCTGGGTCTATTTATGAAGTTATTTATTTATTTAATTATTTTGTAGCATAGGTGTGTATTTATGTTTCCCTGCTACTCATGATGATGTCATCTTTGACAAAACTAGTAGAGCAGAGATGGAACACATGCCACTACACATATGTGATCCCGCTGCAACTATCTTGGATTCTGCAATACGAGTTGTTAATATGATATGAAATGCCTGATTGTCATCTTTGCATTGTAAGTGCATTTGCCATATTAAATTACTGTTTTAATGGATTACACCATGGAGAGCGTGTCTTTTTCTTTTTCATGATACTATGTCCAACTGAGTATAAATGCACAGTGATCTAATTTAACACAGCAGTACCATTGTTTGACATGTGGTTTTGAGGAAAGCTAGATATCTTGGATTGATACATAAGTGTCGGTTGACCACTCTTAATTGGGAGTCATATGATTCTGGTGAGCCTACCTTTGTTGTACACCGAGGTGCTGTGTGGTTTATCATTAAGAAGTTTAGAAGTTTTGGTGGCATTTGGTACCCAAATCTGTCATTTCTCTCATAATCGGAGGACTACTGAATTCCCAGTTTTTGGCTTCACATTTGGATTCCTTTATTTTTTAAATTTTTGGTGACACATAAGAGTTTGATATATTTGCATTTCACTACTGTATTGCACAAACATTTTAATTTATCGTAGCGCTGCACTATTGTTTTGTGATGTTTATTATGCTATGTATTATGGTATCATGCTACCTATGTTCATATAATTTATTGGTTTACAATAGAAAAAATAAACAAACACATTTTGGGGGCTAGAAGGAGCCTTCCTTCATCAAGGATTCATTTAAAATAAGAACCATAAATAGACTCAAAATAAGGCTCTCTTGTGTGAATCTATATAGGGAAACCAAATGCAGTACAAGAAAAGTTACTAGCCAGCAGCATCTGGCACAAGGTTCCCACTAAAATAAATACCAGACCTTTATATTTGATGAGGATCTTGTGTAGATATCAAGGGGAATCCCCAAGCACAAAACAAGAAAAAAAAAGTGAGGTCCCGCCCCAAATCCATACCAGATCTTTATCCATGCATGAAGCCTAGAAAGCCAGGAAATTGGGAGAGGAAGAATGTGCCCCCTTGATGGACCATGCCAGGCTACATGTCTTCAACATGGGGTGGTATTTTGCTATGGGGAAACCTCTGAAGATGTACCTTGTGCCCATGTTGATAAGGACAAGGGCCTCTTCATCATAACCTTGACCGGGTGGTTGTGAGGGGCTGCAGAAAGGGAGCTTATCAGAATTTTAAAGCCTCCTTTAACAATAAGGGTGCCCATGGATGCCACCCCCCATGTGAATCAGTAAGGGGTATAAAGTACCCCTAATCATTCACACAGAAAAAGTAAACAGTAAATTAAAAAAAATAACAAGTTGCCCACTGCCCTATGGGAAGTAATAAACATTAACAACAGGTATACGTTAGGTGAATCAAAAGAACAGCAAATACTGTGACTGAAAGCAATATAACTCACGTTTACACTCAGGCTGCTTTCAGGGGATTCCAACCGTGAATAACCCCAAGAGCAGAGGCAAACACTTAAATGGCAACCTCAAAGAGGGTCTAAACCCCTTTACATAAATTTAACTCTATGATGTCCAAGCAGGAGGAGAGCAGAAGAATGACTCTCTGTTGTTTCAGACTTCTCCCTTCTAACCCCCGACACCACAAGCCCAATAGGCAAACACTGTGCCCAACTGATGCTTAATAGCTACTTTCCAAGGTAAAGCTATTCCCTCACACACCATACAATATAGAGGCCTGAATACGCATGCGAGTGCCTGTATGGCACCAGTAACTTCAGTCTCTTGGTAACAGGATGAATCTTGGGATCTTCAGCTAGCCACTTTCGTTGGTGCACTTAAACTCCTATGGTAAAGTATAATTGTAATCCCTTGGCAGTATTTGTATAGCATAGCAATTACTGTGTCTGTTTAGCAGGGCCATATACACAACCCAGTGCCTAGTGAGTATGGGCAAAGTGTAATGTCTCTGTTTGCAGTGTTCCTGTCATCTACCAGTGGGCAAAATTCCTCTCACCAGATCCTGTGACTAAGGCCCAAACGATCGTCCTAGAAACAGGCTCCTTTGGTCACCTCACGTTGAGCGCTTCACACTGTTGGTGTAGGCACTGTACTGTATGCCACTTCACTTAGTTTGGATGTTCCCCTGACTGATGCAGATAACTCAGCATGCTGTGAACTGACCCTAAGCACTTCTCTGCTAGATCCAGACTGTTACCTTGCCACATGCAGACTGCCTCCCCTGAAGAAAAACAAGATGGAGTCCTTCGCTCTCACTAAGCATCCTGGCCTCTGTAGTTCCATTCCTATGTAAGCCTATCAGGCCGTTTCCGTTCAGGACTGCATATTCCACAATGCTTTGCAGCTGCACCTCCTGTTTGAGAAAGTCCATGTCATTGTCTCCTTTAATTCCTCTTCTGATTTGCTCTCTCTCTATTACAGTCTGAGTGGAGAAGGGAGGGGCTGAAATCCCTCACTGTGCAAGTGTCAGGGTTCAGAGGCTATGCAAGTCAGCAGGTTACAACAGTCACAGATAGGATTAATTTCCTCCACTACATATACAGTTGTGCTGAAAAGTTTACATACCCTGACAGAAATTGTGACATTTTGGCATTGATATTGAAAATATGACTGATCATGCCAAAAAATGCTCTTTTATTGAAAGATGATGATCATATGAAGCCATTTATTATCAAATAGTTGTTTGGCTCCTTTTTAAATCATAATGATAACAGAAATCACCCAAATGGCCCAGATCAAAAGTTTACATACCCTGGAATGTTTGGCCTTGGTACAGACACACAAGATGACCACCACAGGATAAAATGCCAATTAGAGGTTAATGTCCCACATCTGTGGCTTTTTAAATTGCAATTTGTGTCAGTGTGTAAATAGCAATGAGTTTGTTAGCTCTTACGTGGAAGCACTGACTACGCTAGATACTGAGCCATGGAGATCAGAAAAGAACTGTCAAAAGTCTTACGTAACAAGGTAATGGAGCTTTATAAAGATGGGAAAGGACATAAAAAGATGTCCAAAGCCCTGAATATGCCAATCAGTACTGTTAAATCACCTATTAAGAAGTGGAAAGTTCAGGGATCTCTTGATACCAATCCAAGGTCAGGTAGCCACAACTGCCAGAAGAATTGTTCGGGATACAAAGGGAAACCCATAGGTAACCACAAGAAAAAACAGGCTGTTCTGGAAAAAGACAGTGTAGTTGTTTTGAAGGAGCACAATATGATGACACTTGAACAAAAATGAGCTGCATGGTCGAGGTGCCAGAAAGAAGCCTTTACTGCATCAATGACACAAAAAGGCCTGGTTAGGCATGTCAAGGTGTTGTCAGGCATATTGTAACTGGACTTTTTTGTGGCATTGGTGCAGTAAAAGCTTCTTTCTGGCACCTCGAGCAAACAGCTAATTTTTGCTCAAGTATCACAGTATTGTACTCCTTAAAAACAACCACACCATCTTTTTCCAGAGCAGCCTGTTTTTCTTTTGAGGTTGTCTGTGAGTTTTTCTTTGAATCCCGGACAATTATTCTGTCAGTTATGGCTGCAGTCTCTCTTGGTCTACCTGACCTTGGCTTGTTATCAAGAGATCCCCGAACTTTCCACTTCTTAATAGGTGATTTAACAGTACTGATTGGCATATTCAAGGCTTTGGACATCTTTATATGTTCTTTTCCATCTTTATAAAGTTCCATTACCTTGTTACGCAGGACTTTTGACTGTTCTTTTTTGATCCCCATGGCTCAGTATCTAGCCTAGTCAGTGCTTCCACGTAAGAGCTAACAAACTCATTGACCTTTTATACACTGACACTAATTGCAATTTAAAAAGCCACAGATGTGGGACATTAACCTCCAATTGGCATTTTAACGAATGTGTGTATCACCTTGTGTGTCTGTACCAAGGCCAAACATTCCAGGGTATGTAAACTTTTGATCAGGGCCATTTGGGTGATTTCTGTTATCATTATGATTTAAAAAGGAGCCAAACAACTATTCGAGAATAAATGGCTACATATGATCATCATCCTTCAATAAAAGAGCATTTTTTGGCATGATCAGTCATATTTTCAATATCAATGCCAAAATTTCACAATTTCTGCCAGGGTATGTAAACTTTTGAGCACAACTGTATATACTGTATGTGATTTGCATTTCCGGGTAGAGGGCACACGCATGTACTGCCCTACCCGTGCTGCCATTGGCGGCTATGGATGTCAATCACCGGGTCCCGGCTGGAGGTTCTCGGAACCCAGCGATCCCCAAGTAACACTGATGGGGGAAAGACCTGTGTGTAAACAAGTAAACAGGTCTCTCTCCTGCCAGCAACAACATGCTGATGTGTATTTCTCTGCAGAGAAATACACAGCAGCATGTTTCCCAAGTAAAACACACAAAGCACATATTGTAAAACAGCACACAGTTAACCCTTTGATCACCCCAGATGTTAACCCCTTCCTGCCCAGTGTCAATAGTACAGTGTCAGTGTTTTTTATTAGCACTGATCACTGTATTAGTGTCATTGGGATATCAGTGGCAGTTAGTCAGTTCCCACCCAGAGTCAGAATGCCTGCTGGAGTCCCACTATAAGTCACTGATCACCGCTATTAATAGCATAAAAAAAATAAAAATTCCAGTATATATACCACCATTTGTGGACGCTATAGCTTTCATGTAAACCAATTAAGTTACAGATATTGGGAATTTTTTCAGCGAAGACATGTAGAAGAATACATTTTGGCATAAATTTATGATAAAATTAGCTTTTTTTTTAAATAACTGGATGTTTTATAGCAAAAAGTAAAAAAATTGCTTTTTTTTTTAATTTTCAGTCTTTTAAAAAAAAAATGCACAGGTGATCAAATACCACCAAAAGAAAGCTTTATTTTTGGACAAAAAAGGACAATGCCCGGCCTCATGTGGTGCGAGTATGCAGGCAGCTCCTGGAGGATGAAGGAATTGATACCATTGAATGGTCCCCATGCTTGCCTGACCTAAATCCAATAGAACATAGCAAATGTTTTCAGCCAATGCACAAAGCGAAAAACAACAGCAGAGAACTTCAAATACTAATCAGACTACAGGTGACCTGTTTCCCCATCCAGCTCTTTCATCTCTTATCCAGTCTGCTTCATCTCCACTCTGTAACACTCCCTACTCCTCTTTCTCACAGTTGTGTCCTCTCTCTTCAAACTCTCTCTCCTTCACCCCACAGCTTACAGTATATATATCACCCTCACTCCTTTCTTCACCTTATTACTGTACTCATCAACTCCTGCTAATTCTGAACCCACACGCTAATAAAACCTCCAGGACAATGGAACCTGTCCCTCCTTATAAGTCATACTCCCATATTACCTCTTTCACCCTTCTGCTTCTCCTAACATCTGGATACATTTCCCCAAATCCTGGGCCACCATCTTTTTCCTTTGATCAACACATCTGGCACCCCCTATCCTCCAACAGCAGCCGCAATCCACACAATCTAGTTACTATTCCTCTTCTTCCTAAAACCAGCCTCCCCTTTTCCTGTGCCCTCTGGCATGCCCACTCTGTCTGTAACAAACTCACCTCTGTCCATGACCTCCTATCCCCTCAAAGCACTTTTCAGGTCCTCCATTCACCTCCCTCTCTATCCCTCTCCTCATTTGAAGTTCACTGTATTTATCTGTTCTCTTCAGTTTCTTTAAGAATTGCTATGATCTATCATCCTTCTGGACCGGTATCAAGCTTCCTTGATGACTTCTCTGCCTGGCTGCTTTACTCTCACTGTTCTGAAATTCCCATTATCATTCTTGGTGACTTCAACATCCCTGTTAATCTTAATACTCCTGCTACCTCTAAACTTCTGAGCCTAACCGCTTCTTTCGACCTAAAACAATGGACACATACTTCTACTCACTCGAATGGTAACTGCCTCGACCTTGTATTCTCCTACCTATGCACTCCTTGTAACCTCACCAACTTTCCTCTTCCTCTCTCACTTCCTTATTAGCTTCACTCTCTCCTTGGCTTCCTCCTCCTTGGCTTCCAACTTCCAAACAGTTACCCATAGAAACCTTCGTTATCTTAACCCTTCTCTTCTTTTTTTGGCAACAGATTGTCTCTATGACAAAATCTCAGCCCTGTCCTGCCCCAGCCTGGCCACTTCTGTCTACAATAGTTCCCTGTCATCCACCCTGGACACATTGGCCCCCCTCACTACACACAGAATTAGGCCTTGACCGTTACAGCCCTGGCAAACAGACAATACCTTATGCCTCAAAAAATTTAGCCGTGCTCTTGAGCGTTTCTGGAGTAAAACTAAGACCCAGCAAGACTTCGACCAATATAAATCTGTCTTTCAAAAACACAATTCTTGTCTCCACACTGCCAAACAGACCTATTATATTACTCTCATTAACACCCTCTCACGCAATCCCCGTCAACTCTTTTCTACCTTTAACTCTCTACTTCGTCCTTCTCTACCTCCGCCCACTAACTCACTCACTGCCCAGGAGATCACTAATCACTTCAAAAATAAGATTGATACAATTCGTGATGAGATCTCCACTGTACAGATATCTCCCTCACTCTACACTCCTTGTCCATCTGCACAATCTATACTTCCCTTGTTTAACCCATCTACTATAGAGGAGGCTGGTAAACTGTTTTCTAAAGCCCACCTAACCACTTGCCCGCTGGACCCTGTTCCCTCACAAATTCTACGGTCACCCTCTGACTCTATCCTTCATTCTTTAACTCATATCTTCAATCTCTCCCTTTCTACTGGAATCTTCCCCAACTTTCTAAAACATGCGCTAGTCACCCCCATACTTACTCCCTTTTGCCTCCAAACTCCTTGAACATCTAGTCTACAACCAGCTGAGCTGTCACTTTATTGAAAATAACCTCCTCGATCCCCTTTGGTCTGGATTTCACGCACAACACTCCACAGAAACTGCTCTTCTAAAACGCACAAACGACTTACTAACAGCTAAAACCAATGGTCACTATTCTGGACTCTTTCTCTTGGACCTCTCAGCTGCCTTTGACACAGATGACCACCCCCTCCTCCTCAAAAAACTCTATTTACTTGGTTTCCATCCAAAGCCTTGAATATGCCAATCAGTACTGTTAAATCACCTATTAAGAAGTGGAAAGTTCGAGGATCTCTTGACACCAAGCAAAGGTCAGGTAGACCAAAAAAGATTGCAGTCATAACTGACAGAATAATTGTCCGGGATTCAAAGAAAAACCTACAGGCAACCTCAAAAAAAAATTACAGACTGCTCTGGAAAAATATGGTGTGGTTGTTTTTAAGGAGTACAATCCGGTGATACTTGAACAAAAATGAGCTGTTTGGTCGAGGTGACAGAAAGAAGCTTTTGCTGCACCAATGCCACAAAAAAGCCCAGTTACAATATGCCTGACAACACCTTGACATGCCTAACCAGGCCTTTTTGTGTCATTGATGCAGTAAAGGCTTCTTTCTGGCACCTCGACCATGCAGCTCATTTTTGTTCAAGTGTCATCATATTGTGCTCCTTCAAAACAACCACACTTTATTTTTCCAGAGCAGCCTGTATTTTTCTTGTGGTTGCCTATGGGTTTCCCTTTGTATCCCGAACAATTCTTCTGGCAGTTGTGGCTGCAATCTTTCTTGGTCCACTGTACTTGGCTTGGTATCAAGAGGTCCCTGAATTTTCTACTTCTTAATGGAAGTGATGACTGGCATATTCAAGACTTTGTATATCTTTTTATGTCCTTTTCCACCTCTATAAAGTTCCATTACCTTGTTACGCAGGACTTTTGACAGCTCTTTTCTGATCCCCATGGCTCAGTATCTAGCCTAGTCAGTGCTTCCACGTAAGAGCTAACAAACTCATTGACTATTTATACACTGACACTAATTGCACTTTAAAAAGCCACAGATGTGGGACATTAACCTCTAAATGGCATTTTAACAAATGTGTGTGTCACCTTGTGTGTCTGTACCAAGGCCAAACATTCCAGGGTATGTAAACTTTTGATCCTGGCCACTTGGGTGATTTCTGTTATCATTATGATTTATAAAGGAGCCAAACAACTATTTGATAATAAATGGCTTCATATGATCATCATCCTTCAATAAAAGATCATTTTTTTGGCATGATAAGTCATATTTTCAATATCAATGACAATTTTTGCCAGGGTATGCAAACTTTTGGGCACAACTATACATGTATGTTCGGGCCAGCGGGGCTATCAGTGTTCAGTAGTAAGCAGATGGGGAATGTTAGTAGGAATAAAGGACAGCAAAAGTTCTCTAGGCGATTAGGCACAAAGTCAATATAAAGGATCACTAATGGGTTAATAGCCCACCCACCAGCTCCTCTGTTCTCCTAGAACTAAACTCCTTTGTTCAAATGGGACCTTTAAGATGTGTTGGATCTTCCGGCTGCTTCCTACAGCTCTGACAGGAGGTGGATTCTGCAATGCAGCGGTGAACCTTTACGGTACTCTGTGTAACAGCAGTCAGCTAGACTGGGTTATGTGTTCTGTGTCCACCGGTGGCACCAGTGATAGGCCTCAGTGTAAAAAATATTCTGTGGCAGGAAACCACTCTGCCCGTTTCAGTCAAATGGCCTGCTGCTGATCTCCCTGCTATCTGTGCAGATCAAAGTGTCTATCTTTGTTATTTTTTTTCAGCACAAATATATATATTATTCTTAATTCACTTAGTTTTCCTGGAAAACAGTCATAATAGTTGCACATTATATTTTATGAAGGTAGTCATATATTCCCTGGGAAAGAACTGGGTCAATCAATAAGGACTTAGTTCAGTAAATCCCACTGAAAACAATATATGTCTGTAATAAATCTTAACTTGCTTAGTTTGAACTTTCAGGACTTATTTTTGAAGTCTGTATATACTCTTTATAACGTATAAGGTAATTGTAACAGAGCTACTAAATTGGGTCACATACACTGTTCAAACATATATCCAGTACAAATACAATAGAAACTCATGATTTATTTAAAATTATAGTAGATAAACTAGAGACATTCATACACATAGTTATCATACAATCTGAATATAATATTCATGTGCATGTTTACTATATAATTATTACTGTAAATTCAGCCAAATTGAACTATTTACATACTACCCTTTAGATTGTAAGCTTCTTGAGGGAAGGGACTGATGTGAATGTACAATATATGTAAAGCGCTACGTAAATTGAAGGCGCTATATAAGTACCTGCAATGATAAATTAAATGTAACTGCAAAATACTGTATTCAAAGAGAAACTATAGGGTATAATGAGTATATATTCTGATTAACTTCTTATATATGTCCAGAAATTATGTTTTATGTCACCTTCAAATTTTTCTGTCCTATTTTCATGATGAATCACAGAGAGAAGCCTTCATCGAGGTGCAATGTAATGGTCCTGCTGCTGATCTTAGTGCATCCTGATAAAATGGACCTGTAAGTCCATTAATTGTTGTCCCTGTTGATTTTTTTCTGTGCTTTGAAGTAAGCTACCTTCTAAAGAATTTAAGGATTGCTGACTTTGATTGTCTGCGATGTCACCATTTGCCATGTGCCTTTTAAGGCCTTGAATGTGGGACAGATTTTCCCAAACAATTATACCAAAGGTATATACATGTATTGCTTTCATCATAAAAAATAAGGGATTTATTGCTCATATAAAGAGAAGAGCCATGCAAATGAATTGTTTTTTTCTCTTGGGACAACTTTAAATTCATAACTGCTAGTTTACAGAACAGATACAGATTATTATTATAGAGCCATTTATTCCAAACTGCATACAGCTGCTTCAGGCTTGTTGACCATCATCAGCACAATGTATAGAAATCATGACCTCTATGCATGCATTTTTAAGCATCGGGGCTTGTTGCTTTAGATAGCCTATTCAAAATAAATTAAATCAAAGGCCCTGTCCAATTTTTTTTCAGTGCATTCTTTTTTTTATAACAGCATTCTTTAACTCAGGTGAGTTGCAACATAATGTAGTATGCTGGCATTCAAATATTGTTGCATTCCGAAATATAACACAACATACATCAGCAGTGCCTTATTATGGTAACTTATGTTATTGTGTGGCAAATCCTAACTGTGTTCACTTTGAATACCCAAATATGTGCAAAGGGAACTGAAAAAGGTTTTGCTAGCACATGGATTAGAATTAATAATGTTACTAAACCCATGACTCTGCATTCACTATATCTGGTCTCCCACAGTACACAAAACATGGAAATGTACCGTATTTTTCGCTCCATAAGACGCACCTGACCATAAGACGCACCTAGGTTTTAGAGGCAGAAAACAGGAAAAAAAAATTCTGAACTAATGGACTGCAAACATAGTACAGGAGATGACCAGAGACTGCGGACACAGTACAGGGGATGACCAGAGACTGCGGACACAGTACAGGGATGACCAGAGACTGCGGACACAGTACAGGGATGACCAGAGACTGCGGACACAGTACAGGGATGACCAGAGACTGCGGACACAGTACAGGGATGACCAGAGACTGCGGACAGCACAGGGATGACCAGAGACTGCGGACAGCACAGGGATGACCAGAGACTGCGGACAGTACAGGAGATGACCAGAGACTGCGGACAGCTCAGGGATGACCAGAGACTGCGGACAGCACAGGGATGACCAGAGACTGCGGACAGTACAGATGACTGCTGACCTTTGGGGAGGGGGGGGAGCGGGTACCTGAATTTGACAGATACCCGCTCCCACTTCCGCGGAGTTGTTCTTTCATCTTACCTGTTCCTCTATCCAGCCGCGCGCTGTCTTCCCGGCTTCTGTAATGGCGCTCGGCATGACAGCCGGGTGCCCAGTGCGCATGAGCGAGAAACACTTGCGCTTTGTGATTGGTCCGGCGGCTTCTGGGATCTGTCATGTGTCCCAGGTGCCGCCTTACCATTCACAAAAAGCACCGCTTCCTGCGCATGCGCACTTGGCACCCGGCTGTCATGCCCACACTACAGAAGCCGGGAAGACCGCGCCGCTGGATAGAGGAACAGGTAAGATGAAAGAACAACTCCACGGAAGTGGGAGCGGGTACCTGTCAAATTCAGGTACCCGCTCCCCCCCTCCCCAAAGGTCAGCAGTCATCTCTATAAGGTCCCGCTGTAGAGCTGAGCGACCGGCCCGGTATTCTGACACGGCGGCAGTGGAAATACCGGACCGGCCGCTCCATATTCGCTCCATAAGACGCACTGACATTTTCCCCCCTTTTTTGGGGGGAAAAAAGTGCGTCTTATGGTGCGAAAAATACGGTAATTATTTTAGGAACTATAAACGGCTAAATACCTTTTTTCTTCAGCAGTTACAGCCGTCTTGTGACTCCTATCAGTGTTCAGCAGAGCTCTGGTTAAAGCTTGTTGGAGGAGTTGTCATTCTCCTCAGATTGTCCTATGAGGCTGCAGGACTCCTAACCCTCTGCCTGGACAGCGCTGATTGGCCCTGTGCTGATCACATGCACTCTTCCAAGAGAAAAAAAAACTCTCTGGTAATACACACAAAACTGAGCATGTGCAGCCTGTCCCCAAGCCTCTGTTCTATCAGCAGATGGATTGGGGACTGTGTAAGAAGGGGAGGATCGGAGAAGAAAGGATCAAATGTCCTTTTTACACAATTAAGAGGATTAACCCCTTAGGTCCCACAGTGAGTATAACAAGCATGCTTTTCTGCATATACAGACTGATTTTACTGTTGTGAGTTTAGTAACATGTTAGAGTTAATGCAGCTGCACCATATTCACTAACATTCACTTTGCAAAGTAAACATTGGCTTTGCGAAGTGAATGTTTACTTTGTTCATTGAAAAGTCCCTATCCCTTTGATAAATCAACCCCCTTGTCTCCAGATCATACTGGGATTTTTATTAATAAAACACATCACTGCTTTCTTGCTTAATGCCTGCCTCTGTCTGCATGAAAATTCATACAAGTCCCCTAGTAGACTGCTAATATTATGCATAGGTTATTGTCACAGACAGACATGCTTATTTCCCTCTGCTAGTAGATATGGACTGTATGATAGAAGTAAACTATAATAAATACATATTTCAAAATACTTATTTTATTCAAATAATCAAAACACAATACAAACATGTAAAAACTGTTATGAAAAAAAATGTTATAATTTGCAATTCACCAAGACAAAAGAAACTCTCAGCACTCCTCATACCCATGAAGTAAATAAAACAACTGAGATACAGACACACATTTTCACTGCTGGGACTGGGCATGCTTCCACTGTCCATGGCAGCAGCATGAAAGGTAATGCTAACCATTGTCCTATTCACTCCCAGACACAATTATAAAACCCATAGCAAATTCTAGCCTGCCTGTCTACATTCAGATGATGATGCTATTGCTTCCTATGCAGTGCAATATGCAGGGTATGGCACTTATGGCACATGTCCTGGGCACCATTTGAAGGAGGATGCTGAATCACTGAGCAGTAGGGATGGACAGGGCTGCCTGGATTCCCATAAAGTGAGACAGTTGCTAAGGTAACCTTCCAGATTCCTGGAGTGAGAGCCTCCATGAGTCAAGGTAGTCTGCTGAATGTAGAAAGAGAAACTGAAACTGACTTTTGATCACATGATAAACCAGTTTGCATCAGTGAAAACACTGGAGGAAGCGCCATAATTTGTTAATTAAAAGATTAATGAGTCTGATTTACATTTTTGGGTTGATTTTATGGTAAAGTTATCTGCAATATGGATGTCAGACGTTTGGACGGGATGCAATATGGGTGCCTGTCATTGCCACCATGATCCATAAATAATCTTTTGTTCATATGGGCATTAAAAAGGGAGAAAGGGATATTTGATTCTTCATTGTTGCTATTGAGACCAGAAAGCTTCCTGGCCCTAACATGGAAGAAATGCATCTGTATCTGAGGTCTTACAATGGTCCATTGCACCAGAGTATATTAATTATATTGGTCCATTGCACCAGAAAAGGACCCTTTCAGACTTAGAGACTGATCAGGTCAGGTGGACCTGATTAGACAGCCTGTTCACCCCTATGGACCAGTGGGTGCAAACAGACTTGTGTCCATTTACACCCACCTACCTCTGGTCTGATCCAGTCCTCTAAAAAAAAAAAACCAGAAGGGAATCCATCCTCCTCTGTCTAAGCGGATCAGATCAGAGGGCATTCAGGTGTAGACAGTGGAGCCTGTTTATTCCCGGTCTTCCATAGAGCAGAGCAGCTCTGTCTGTGTATGCTCTGAATTAACTAAGTGGACATGGATGGCTCATTCACCTGCTCTGCTCAGTGGACAGATCCCCTGTTGATCTCAACAGAGTCCACTCCATGTGAAAGGGGCCTAACACAGACAGGGAAAAGTAGATGCAGCACCTTCAACCAGTCAGAACTCGATTGCATTGTGTAATGCTGTCAGTTAAGGATGAGCCAAACACACCTAGGTTTGATTTGATGCAAATTTGCAGAACATGACTAAAGCTGGGAGCCAAAATGGAAGATGAACATTATAAATGAATAGTGGCCACTTGCTAGACTATTAGGCAATGGAATTTCAAACAAAAGGGGTTGGGCATTACCCTGGGGAACATGTACCAAACCAGAAGAAGAAGGAGCCAGCCCTACTTGCCTTGTAGTGTGTAGTGAAGTGTGTCTTGTAACGTGTATTGTTCACACTGGGTAATGCAATTTTTCCCTTTTTGTAAGACATGTGATATGTGTCATGCAAAATAATGTAAGCATGGTTTTCATGCCAGCTATATATATTTTTTTTAATTACTAAAGTATGCATTTAACAAATAACTGAAAAGTAAAATAGAATACAAACTGCACAATTTCAATGTAAAAATAATTGCAAAGGCACGATGACTTGACAATGTGAAAGCAAAATATGTGTAATTGTTTGCATTACATAACTGCAAACAAGTAGGATTTTGTAGATCCCAGAGATATTAGGAAGAAATCTTAAGTCAGATTTAAAATTGCAGTTGCTATGGTTATGCTCACAGTGTTGATATTCGGCAAATGCAATAAGAAACTAATTATAGCCAAAGTGTGTTTATTAACGCTTCCTTGTAAATTGCTATAGGTGACACTGGCAAGTAGGCTTATTATTATTCAATTCCCAATTTGTATTCATACTGTTTTCAACTATTTGTTTCACAAACAGCAATACTTACGGTATTCATCAAACAAGTTTTATGATCACATTACTGTAAATGATTAGAGACTCAGATGATTCTGTTTAAGCACTTTCCCTCCAGAGGATTTACCCCCCTTCCTGAAAAAGGCCATTTTTTGCGTTACGGCGCTGCATTACTTTGACAATTGCGTGGTCATGCAACGCAGAACACAAATGAAATTTATGTCCTTTCTTCCCACAAATAGAGCTATCTCTTGGTGTTATTTGATCGCCTCTGCGTTTTTAATTGTTTGCACAAACAAAAAAAAACAATATTTTTGACTATTAAACATGTCCAATAAAAACATTTTAAAAAAATAAAATTTCATCATAAATTTAGGGCAAAATGTATTCTGCTACATGTCTTTGCTAAAAAAAATCCCAATATGTGTAATTTAATTGGTTTACATGAAAGTTATAGCATTTACAAATGGCGGTAAATATACTGGAATTTTTTTTTTTTACTAGTAATAACGGTGATCGGCGACTTATAGCAGGACTGCGGCAGGCATTCTGACACTAATGGGGAACTGACTTGGTGTCACTGACATACCCAGTGACACCAGTACAGTGATTGGTGTTAATAAAAACCACTGACACTGGGCAGGAAGAGGTTAACATCTGGGGAGATCAAAGGGTTAACTGTGTGCTGTGTGTGTTTTACTATGAGGCTGTGTGTGCTTTCCACTGTAAGCACACTGCTTTCTATGGCTCTGCTATGCAGAGCTGTGCAAAGCAGTATGCAGGAGATGACAGGGGAGAGAACTGTGTTGTTTACATACAGTTCTCTCCCCCATCGGTAATACTTGGTGATCACCGAGTGCCGGCAAGTAATCAGCCGAAGCCGCAAATGGTGGCGCGGGTAGGGCGTGCATGCGGCTCATGCGTGCCCCCTACCTGGTACTGAAAAAACACGTACATATACGTGATTTTTGCGCACCCCTGCCACCCTGTAGCAGTATATCTGCTATAAGGCGGAGGGGAATCGGTTAACCTGACATATACACAAAATGCATGACAGGTTTTCATCTGCAAATGTGTTTGTAAAACCACTGCATTTGTACCCTCTTACATGGGCTTCCTACATGCAGTTCCAAGGTGGATGCATATGTACCTGCCAGCGACTGCATGGAGGAAGGGCATAATCGCCTATCTGAATGAACCATTACAACAGTTTGCTTATTAACCCTCCAGATAAAAGTAATAACACGATTTTCTGTAAGAAACTTCAATGAGGATCACCACAAAGCTTTTAAACTTCAAGCAAAATGTATGCTCATGAACTGCTGCAAAGCCAAACTCAGGTAGATTCACCAATTCCTAGTTTTGATACAGAGCTACACATGTCACTCGTTTATTTGTATCTGTCATCTGAGAACATTGGGGTCACCCAATAATAAACCCCTCTTTCAGGCAAAGGACCATAAGATCTGGGGATGGTCTAGCATCTGCCCTGCTTGTTAGGCCTGGTTCACACTTATGCGCTTTTTAG